TCGAGGCCAGCGATGCTCTAAGCACTGAGCCACGGTGTAGCCGTCATCCAAGATGTTATAATTATTATTCCACAATCACAATGACGCAATGTAATAAAACATTTGATGTGGGTGTTTCAACCAGCTATGGAGGGGAAAGCTGAGAAAAAGAAGGAGTAAAAAAAAAAAAGGAAATTATCGTGTCCGTTCCCGAAGGGAACTCACGGCGGCCGCTAACACCCGATAAACCCTTGCGGCAGATGCAGCGCCTAACGGTGGGGGGTGAGTGGATAAGTCTCACAACCACTGGCACAAGTGCCGAAAACGACCCCATTAGCTGCATCCATGTACCCCTTGTGCCTGGCCACAAGTTCCCAGTTGACTGTGGGTAGCAGCACGGCTGGAAAACCGCTCCCAGGCAGGACTTGAACCAGGTACCTCTCGTATCTCAATCATGGAGTAGATGGTTGCCATACCAGATTGGTCACCTTGACAAGTTTTTCTGCCATTGTTTGTATGCCGCAGGAGACCAATCTCGCCTTCAGAAGACAAGAATGAAGTCCAGTATGAGCGAGAGTGGTGTTTCTCTCAGCGGCAAGGAGGGAAGAAAGGTATGCAAACGCACTCTTGTTATTGTTTGCTTTGGGTTTTGTGAACCAAGTTGAACAGGAATCTCTCGTACATGTCGATATGCATTGCATCGTGTAGTGCAATTACCCTGTACTATTTATTGTGTTGTTCATTGTGATGACAGTTCTCAAACTACCTTCATCTAGCCATATGCATGTGCATATGAGCAAGCGCTGCATTGTAGTGGGCAGCCTATGGCCTCCGTTTTTTGCAGTTTTGTTTGTGGGGGATTTAGCTGTTGCTCTCTTTGTTTCCCTCTTCTCATTGTTTGGGAGATCTTCCCATGGTTCTGAATGCCACGGAAACTCCAAGGCATTGCACTCAGAAGATGACACAAGATTATTGCATGGTAGGGGCGACGGTTCGATACCGGAACGGCTTGACAGCCAAATTTGTATAGACCCAAACCGATCATCAGCGTTGATTGTTCACTTGAAATATGTTTGTGGAAGGAAACTGGCATGTTGAAGTTTGCTCTGAGGCCAGAGTCAATCGAACTGAGCCACTCCTTTGTGTTGACCCATTGCCTCCAAGTTGCCCAATTTTTCGCTTCAAATCAGAGGTGGCTCCAAACCGGACAGGTTTTAGGGTGCACGTCAAATTCACTCTGGGTCTGAAATTAGGTAATTGCTATCGCTCCACGACGGCCAGTACAGAGTAACAGTAAGCCTTGTGTGTGCTTCCATTAGTTTTGATTGGTATGCGGTGCTTTATTGGCGAGAGGCAAGTCGCTGGTTACTTGCGACAAGAAGTTGATTTTTCGAAAGTCGTAAAACTCAAGTCGCAGTGCGAAGCAACACGTCAAAAACTCACCTGCTTGGTATGGCACTTCTGGTCATCGCAGAGCCATGAAATTTTGGATCGGAGTATAACACATCGTAGTCTCACTGTGACATATGTTTTCTAATCAAAATACCAAGAGAGAAAGTGAATATTGAGTCCGTTCCGGTTTGCAATCTATGTCCTATTTAAAACTGACGCCTCTACATAGTGTGGCGGAGGTGCGCTTTGGCCCTGGGTATAAAAGTTAACGTGATCCGTGCACGATGCATTACGCAGTTGAGCGATCTAGGCCGTGGCCTGCTTGCCTCAAATAGATGGAAGCTGGCAATTTCTGTCACATTCCGACTCGAAACAGACCTTCCCCACATTGCTTCATGCTTCATTACCCCCCCCCCCCCCCCTTAATGCCTTGTGACAACTAGGATATCTTTCGCGCTTTAAAAGTGACCAGCCCTTTACATCATTATCGCAGCAGGGCTCAGATCGTTTCTGCTTCTGTCCTGCAGTCAGGCGAGGATGGCGAGCCGTATAACGCACTGCTGGACGACGTGGCTGCGCAAGATGGCAAGCAGTGGTGCATGGGCAACCTGACGCTGGTATCTCTAGACCTCACCGGTAAGGGTGCGGTGACGTCATGCTATGCGTCATGATAATGTAATGGTGATGTAATGGTAAGGCCATGATGTTTGCATAAGCAAACAGTGGTGCATGGGCAACCTGACACTGGCGTCTCTGGACCTCACCCGTAAGGGTGCGGTGATGTCATGCTTATGTCACAATGATGTAATGGTGAGGTCATCATAGTCGGATACTTGTAGCTCTACAATATCACCATGAACTGAGCATGATTGTATTGCGCAATGCTCTGCTCCTATTCGTGAAGACAACAAGCGGCAGTATCTTCTCTAAGCCATTTGTTCCATACATGTACATGAAAGTTCCCCGTACAAAACTGAAATACTGCTGCCAGCGGTAGATACCTTTCAGACCTACTCACCAGGGAAAGTCCCTTTACATGGGTCTAAGTGAGGGAACTCTAAAATATTGCCAGTACAAGGACTCGTCGCAGTTAAATTATCAATGCCAAAATGGCTAATGCATTTTCCGGAGTATAAGCCGCACTGGAGTATAAGCCATACCCATTTTCCGGAGTATAAAGCCGCACTGGAGTACGAGTATAAACCGCACCCACATTCTTTTGTCATGAAAGTACAGATGTCTACCCCATTTATCGCCGTTAATTTGACCATCGGATTATAAGCCGCAGCGACATTTTCTGGGTGAATTCCTGTTGTTTAAGGTGCGTCTTACACTATGTAAAATACGCTCCTGACATGACTACAATACGGTATTAGCGTTACTACTGCCGTCCTCAGAAATAGCGTTGTTTACTTGAGTCCTGCTCGATGAATTGCAATCGCTAGAGTCACGTTCTCACTCGCCCTGCATCGGTTCTCATCCAGGGCGTAGCAGCCGGTCCGGCCGGACCACTTTTTTTTAACACAAAGCCAAAAGTGCCCAGAATGCGGGATTTTGCACCCTAATTTCAAAATGTTCCCAGGCGAGAGCCCCCGGACCCCCTCCTTCCGGCCAGACCACCTCCAACGACGGTGCTACGCGCCTGTCATCCCAGTGTTGTGTTGGGGTCTAGGGTTGCACGGCACGGGACGCGCTCTTGTCTCGTGTGATCGGATTTCTTTGAGCAGCACTGTAGCACTAGTTACTCTAGTATGCACGTGTGTACTTAGAATGCTGTCAGCCCGGAGAGGGAAAGTCCCTGGTTTGAGTTCTGGTGATGACACTGATGCCCATCCACACTTCCCCTTCCTCAAACTCGCCAATATGGGTCCGCAGCAGTCACTGATAGCAGCATCAACATCAGTGATTTCTTTACTCCTTTGTTAACAGTTCTTCTTTCCTTTGTTGCCAAAGTTCCCTGAAGAGCAGTAATTATAATGTTTCTATGGCAATGCATACAATGGTGACGTGTTGGTGGTCGGATATCAATCCGTGGAATTTTACTTACGGAAAATTTGGATCACTCTGCATGGTTGTGTGTGTGTGTGTCTGTTTGTGTGTCTTCTTGTGTGTGTGTGTGTGTGTCTGTGTGTGTCTATCTGTCTGTGTGTCTGTCTGTCTGTCTCTGTGCACCACACTCCGCACTGCAAAGGTAGCAGATAGTCCCTTCGCTATCATTGCCATTGGTAATGGGCATGTTTAATGTTCAAGGTGTGTGCGCGCGTGTGTGTGTGTGTATGTGTGTGTGTGTGTGTGTGTGTGTGCGTGTGTGTGTGTTTGTGTATGTGTGTGTGTGCGCGTGTGTGTGCGCGCGTGTGTGTGTGTGTGTATGTGTTTGTGTGTATGTGTGTGTGTGTGTGTGTGCGCACGTATTTGGGTTTGTTTCTGCACGGACGCGTGCACGTGCTCAACAGAGAATGCTGCGATGACGATGGAAGCCGTCGACCGATTCTTTGCCGTTCTCCAATACCAGAAGGTAGCGTGTCAGGAGCGTACCGCACCACGACAGGGCCTCATGAACCTGCAGTGCTGGCCCAAGTACATCTGTCCAAATTTGAGCAGTGACGAGGTACGGCACACCGGCGGAGTATAAAGCTAGGTGTACAATCCGATAATCACTTCCATGACAGTCACTCTAACGTTCCATGTACTTGCTGAAAAAATACAGTCAACTTTGCGTATAACGACACTCGGCCGGGCATCAGAAAAGTGTCCTTATTCGCAAAGTGTCGTTCTACCCCAAGTCTCATTACACCTTACAGGTAGAATTGACTTTGCTCTGCGCATGGACATTCTGTCGTTATTCGCGAATTGTTGTTATATCCGCAGTCGTTATTAGCCAAGTTGACTGTTTGCTGCATTTCTGATATTTTTCTGAGCATCTTGGTGCCGGACTCAACAGTCAAAACGTCGACAGAACACACTCCGGTATTTGAACTCTACTCTAGAAAACATGGATGTAGCGAATGGGATTTCGGCATTTGGCCTCTGGCTGGTGGGTCTGATCTATCCTCCCCCACCATTCAGGAGCCGCAGCTGACGCCTGATCATGGAATGGTGGCGTCCCACGGAAGTCAGCAGCGCTTCCGCCCCTGTTCAGATAACCACGGCATGGCCAGGTTTTGTCAACAATTCGGAATACGAAACAGTGATGAGGATAGGTCAGATCTGTCAGGTTTTAACAAAAACAAACTGCCAGTCCCTATTATACTATTTGATACTGGAAGTCTGCGTGCAACTCTAGCTTCCCCGAGAGTCAAATGTATGTCTGCCCATACGTGCTTGTGCTTAACTTTTCCATATCAAGCAGTCGGTCTGGCAAGCCTGGCCAAACTCACAGCCTATCCCTTCATACGTCTGACCAGTTCCAGTCGGTTACTGAGCTTTAATGTTTTCTTAGAGATTCCGTTTTGTCGTTTCTTATCACCTCCGCCTTTCCCTTCCCTTCCTTCTTTGCTTCTTTCCTTCTAATATTCATGTTGATGTTATAGGGACCAGCTCCCATTTAATGCGAGAAGGTACAGTGTCCAACAATGGTGTGTAGTCATTGTATGCCAAAGTTGAATAAACACAAACAAATAACAAACGAACGAACAAGATTACCGTGCCCAATACTGTGCAGAGTCCATAGCAGAAATGTATGATTGTATTCTTGTGTGTTTGTGTGTATGTGTATGTATGTATGTGTGTGTATGTGTATGTGTGTGTGTGTGTGTGTGTGTGTGTGTGTTTGTGCCTGTGTGTGTATGTGTGTGTGCCTGTGAGTGCACATGTGTGTGTGTGTGTGTGTGTGTGTCTGTGTGCCTGTGTGCGTGCGTACATATTTGTGTGCTATTTCTCTCTAGGCTGATGAGGAACATGAGTATCGCATGCCACCCACGGATTTTGAAGTTGCAAGGCTGAAGATGTAGCAGATGCTCATTGACATCAACCCTATCGAACGTAAGAAGCGTTTGAAGGAAGAGAGAGAGAGGGAAGCAGCCAGTGCTCTGAGTGCTGATTCCACCACCGCAACGTAGAGAAAAACACCAGATTCGCAAACGTATAGGAAAAAGACAGGTCAATTTTGCCGCTCTCTTAGGCTCAGGCTGTTTGTTTTAGACCACCCTGTTGCCTGAGAATGGGAAAGCAACATGAAACCCAGACTTGCAAGCAAGATTTTTCTTTCTGACTCTACTTCTGCTCCAATTTCTCTCTCTCTCTCTCTCTTCTCTCTCTCTCTCTCTCTCTCTCTCTCTCTCTCTCTCTCTCTCTCTCTCTCTCTCTCCCTCTCTCTCTCTCTCCATGTTGTAAACCTGGTGATGTATAGTGGCACGACAGGAAATCTGGTGCACGAACGGAACAAAGCTACCAGAAGTGTTATCATCACAGAAATGCTGTGCAGAGTTTTGTCTTTTTCATGATATCTCAATTAGGTGAATGTCTACAATTAGATATCTAATCTATGTTATGCTTGGACACCGAAAGAAAATCACGGTGGTGAACGCGACAGTGTAGTAAACGTGTAAAATTTTGCTATGAGCCTCGTCTATTCCCTAAGCAATTAGACTATTCACAAGGATCAGTCCTATCTTGGCCATAAAACATGGAATAATTTAATTAGTGAAAATTCGGATTGAGGTGGCAACGTTTTGATGGCCAGTGAGCAGCTGTGTACCTTATAATAGTACTATGCACAATTGCAAATAGATGAACATGGAGTGCATGTGTAGGGCGGCTGCGCGGGGGGGGGGGGGTAGGCAAAACATCGATTTTAGGCGAATTCAGTGTGCGAAATTGGCAAATTCGGCGCAATTATCGACGATTTCTTCACAGCCATTGATTTCGTCGTCTTTTCTTGCTGACCGGTTTCGGAAATGCCTACAGTCACAGTTACCTTTAACAGTATGCTGGTTACCATGGTTACAGGGATTGTATTTGGATGCTGCTAAGGCACAAAAACATGATGATTTCTTCAAAACCACAGTTTTCGGTGAATTTTTCAGCCAGCCGATTTGGGAAATGCCTGGGGGGGGGGGGTGCATGGCACTATCCCAGCAACTGTTAGCGAGTATAATTTTAAGCAAAGTGTTAAAAGCTAGAAAATCTGAAGATGTTGCTGCTCCATAAGTTCCTTGAACTCGGAAGCAGGATTCAATGCTCAGGGTTCTAGCCAAAGGGGTAGGGGGGGGGGGGAGGCAGCCCCCCCCCCCCCCCCTACCCCACCCACCACCTGCACCCACCAAGTGTATGGTCCAGTAACAGTGTAAATCCACCACTGTGTCAATCAGAGTTATCCCATGGTACGGTACTATAGGCCTGTTTCAACCAACCAGGAGCCTTGCTGACCGGGAAATAATAGCCAATACAATCCCGCGCGGGATGATATTCATTATTAACTGGGTTCACTTTTACCGTACCTACGGTGCACCCTGCCTTGGCATGCACCCACCCCCTCTCGATTTGATGCAATGTATCTTGCCACTGGAGTCCTTTCAATCAGAAACCCAGCGACAAAATGCACTACACAGAACCGTGAGAGGGTGGGAGCATGCCAATGCAGAGTGCACCGTCGGCACAGTAAAAGTGAAGCACTCACCTGAACTGAGAGAACTAATACTTACCTCCGCCACTACGTCCAAAACCAGATCCCACACAAATAGACTACGAACTCCGATCACTGTTCAACTCAACCCTACGACACAAAGGAGACTTCGAAGTGCATCAGTTCTCATGCACTCTTTGTAAACTCGAAACCTACACAAAGTATCACCATCCGAGTGAATACTACTAATTGCAGGTGCATGGAGAGATACCGTGACAACACGAAAAGTACAAGACGTGAAAGTGAGAGGAAAAATCTTGTACAGAATATTCAACGATGTGAAAGAAAAGGAGCTAAGCAATGCATGTTTGATGCAGAAATGGTGTGAAGAAATCTGCATGCAAGATGCGACCTGCAGTCATTATCATGACATTGTATCCAGTACGATTACCACAAGAGCCATCTAAAATGTAGATGCTGCTACAAATCCAGTATGCCTATAACAAGGTCAACGTTCTTCTGCTTGCATAGTGGCCGATAGTGATACAACCAAGAGTTTTGATACAATGAAATGCACTTTACTCACAGGTGCCAATATCCGACAAGATGTACAATGTAGTTACTGCCTGCACGGAAAGTGTTCAGCAAGGATTCCAAACCGTTGAAAGTTCCACGCCCATCCAATGACAAGGAAGTCAGCGCCAGCATCCATAATGACGTTGTATCTCGCCGTGACTTGAAGTATGGCCCTTACCTACTTTGAACCAATTGTATGATCACAGTGATCGTCAATACTGCATATAATAACAGTGCAATCTTCGTCAATTCTCTAGTCCAACTACTAAATGCAACGTGTCCATCGTTCTCAAACCTTGACTGGATTGAAAAGAAAGGCAGCATCTTGTTTTTGGTATAGCTGTACCTTGGTAATTGTATTCAGAACGCACTTGCGTCGATCCCCAAAATGCGTAGATGTACCTGGGATAAGTAGGATATTGACCCGCGTACTCGGGTGTTACCGAACCCTCATATCATCCATCCTGCTACGCAGTCGGGATGATATTCGGGAGGTAACACCCTCGTACTTGGGTAATATCCTATACATGTACATATTTAGACAAGGTACACTGTATAGTTGATATACCGTACATGTACATATTTAGACAGGGTACAGGGTATAGTTGATATACCGTACATGTACATATTTAGACAGGGTACAGGGTATAGTTGATATACCGTACATGTACATATTTAGACAGGGTACAGGGTATAGTTGATATACCGTACATGTACATATTTAGACAGGGTACAGGGTATAGTTGATATACCGTACATGTACATATTTAGACAGGGTACAGGGTGTAGAGGATATAACCCGAGTCAGAGGGTTATACCGGCTGAATATAAATCCCGACTGCGATAGCAGGAGGGATTTATATGAGGGTACGGTATAACCCGACTACGAGGGTCATATCCTACTTATGCCAGGTACCCCTACGCATTTCCAGAACAACGAACCTATTTGGAGATCTCCTACATCATGCAGTACATGAACATCTTCTGATGGTTATCAGTTGTCAATTGAAAGAATGGTCGAGCAAGGTCAGAAGGAGATTCCTCCGTGGATGTTTGGCATAAGATTTCCTTTCAGTTCCAGTGCATGTTGTAGCATCTTCATGATCTTGTCTTGAGTCGTGAGCGGTGCGGAAGTCGACTGAATTGCTGCGGTGCTGGAGTTTGTCGTTGAATCAAACTACCGTCACTAGTTAGATTACAGCTTGGACTCTTTGGGAGTAAGTGTTACTATAATTATGGTACAGTGCTGATTTTCACATGCGGCATCTCATAATCAGTTTTGCTTGCAAGTAGATGCATTTGCATACACTGTTTTGTATCACATTTCAATCCAATCTATTGTAGCCTTTTCCAATCGGGTTGAAGTACATGTACACTGGTATTATAAACTTATTTACGAAGGAGACAGTCTGTTGATGATCTTCAACTCTTCGAAGTACAATGTACATTGCTGACCCATTCGGGATACTTCGTGATTATTCGACGTTCTTTATCCTCAGATTCAGTATAACAGAATACTCTGTAGACGAATTCCAGGTCATTCTTCTTTTCCATTGTGTATACTGTTCCTCGTCAGTGTGCCGTTCTGTGTGGAGTGTACACGCGCATGTGGTGTCCGTTGTGTCTGTTTATGTATGGTCCGTGCGCTGGAGTACTGCCGCCGTACAAGTTCACTGCCTTTCAGGCAGTGAACATGTACGGTGGCAGTGCCCTAGCGTACGTACCGTGCACCGGGATTTATATTCTATATAAATCCCGCGCGGGATTTATACTGGCCAATATAACCATGGCTAGACGAGCGCTGATTGGCTGAAAACAGGCCCTCCGTACCGTACCATGGTATAAATAGTTGATATACCGTACATGTACATATTTAGACAGGGTACAGGGTATAGTTGATATACCGTACATGTACATACATGTATTTAGACAGGGTACAGGGTATAGTTGATATACCGTACATGTACATATTTAGACAGGGTACAGGGTATAGTTGATATACCGTACATGTACATATTTAGACAGGGTACAGGGTATAGTTGATATACCGTACATGTACATATTTAGACAGGGTACAGGGTGTAGTTGATATACCGTACATGTACATATTTAGACAAGGTACAGGGTATAGTTGATATACCGTACATGTACATATTTAGACAGGGTACAGGGTATAGTTGATATACCGTACATGTACATATTTAGACAGGGTACAGGGTATAGTTGATATACCGTACATGTACATATTTAGACAAGGTACAGGGTATAGTTGATATACCGTACATGTACATATTTAGACAGGGTACAGGGTGTAGTTGATATACCGTACATGTACATATTTAGACAGGGTACAGGGTATAGTTGATATACCGTACATGTACATATTTAGACAGGGAACAGGGTATAGTTGATATACCGTACATGTACATATTTAGACAGGGTACAGGGTATAGTTGATATACCGTAAATGTACATATTTAGACAGGGTACAGGGTATAGTTGATATAGTCATATACCGTACATGTACTCCGTATGGCCTAGCTTTCAGAAATGTATGTGGAGACCATTTTGGTAAACTGAGATGCATGCAGGGCTCGCCACCATCATTTTTAATCTGTTCTTATTAATTTTTGTGAATTGTGAATTTACGAGTACCGTATAATCTCCAATAGATGTACAGTACCTGTATTTCTTCAAACGTGGTCAGACATGTACTACTATACGGATGTGTTGGGCAATGGCGGTGGGAGTAGTGCTAAAAGAGGGTAGTGCTGGGAGCCCGTGGTATGGAATACCAGAAAGATACCATGCAGGATCATCCGGTGTTCCAAAGCTGATGAATTGGCGATTCAGAGCATTGGCAATCTGGGTAGGGTCGTTGTGTACTGTGTTATTTTCATGGAGTTCAGTGATGATAGGGTTGCCAACAGGGAACGGCGAACGAAGCTACTTAATGAACTTGAACAAACTAGGGGTGGATGCAATAATGGATGAGGGGTTAGTGGTAATGGAGGACACATACTGGCGGTGAGCCTCTCTAGATAGGATTCGTGCTCTGTTACGTTCGCACTTGTAATGCTCGTGATTGCTAGGGGTAGGATACTTGCGATACAAGCTGTACGAGTCTCACTTCCTCTTCAGCTGAGCTTTAACAGCACGTGTCAGCCACGGGGGACTTGGTGTACGTCGTCTAGGGGCTGAAGAGCGCAGCCGGGTGGGTAGGAAAGCGGAGCATAG